CAGAAGTCAGAAAATGCATAAAAATCTGTAACAGACCTTAACATGAACTCCAACTCTGCATAAGCAATCAAAAATCACTACACTGTTTCACAGTTAATAAAGTTGATTAGTTCACTGCAACATCTAAAATGGTTTGAACTAAGACACTTTGATTATCAACATTTGTAAAATAGTAATGATAATAAAAAAGAGAGTGTTCTTTTCACTTGAATTTTCAAGAAAGAGAGTCTCAGGATGGGTGAACCTGTATTTCTGGATTCAAATCAATGAAATGACAGTTCCTGTCCCACAAGGTTCTTAAGGTCAAGAGTTTTGACCTTAGGCAAACTCTTGACCCCAGATTAAGTTCACTACAACTTCAACATTTAAAAATGGTTTGAACTAAACGCACTTTGATTATCAAGACATTTGTAAAATAGTAATGATAATAAAAGAGAGTGTTCTTTCAATTGATCAGTGCAGGACACTTAGAAAGTCTCTGGATGAACTTAATCTTGTGTTTCTGGACTCAAATCAATGAAATACAGTTCTTGTCCCAGGAAGGCCCTCAAGGCCAGATTTGACCTGAGACTTAGTTCACTACACTTAGAAGTAAAGTTTCCTAAAATGATGATGGTGGCCAAGGATTGATCTGCCGGGGCCAAGGCCACCATTGGCCACCCCCTGACTCCACCATTGCTCCTGGTTGTGGATAGATTGCTCCCTTCAATTGCCAAAATCTGACTCTCGGTCAAGCAATAACACCCCCCCACCCCCACCCCCACCACCACAAGTTCGTCTTCAGTGTTTCTCCTACATTTTTCATTATCTTGCACCAAAATCATTAGTTTACTTCCATTCCCAGTTCAATTCCTGTCCAGAAAAACACTCATTCATTTAAACCTCTCAACGATGGGGAACATCCGTGTACTTGTATCGGTACTGTGTATTAGCACGTACTCAAACGTACGTTTAGAAAAAATGTGGCGTCAGTACATCCCTTTAAAACGCCTCTCACAAAGACCGAGGGAGCTGATAAATATCTGAGAATCTAAAATATAAAGTTTC